CAAGATATAGTTTTCTTAGGCTTTTTAAACTGAGTGTTAGAGAGTTAAATTGTGTGAGTCTAAAATTGAATACTATAACTCTGAAATCATACACTTTCCATTTGATTAGTGAACACTTTCAGTTCTCCCATGAGATATCTAAAGGGACATTCATGTTTCATTTTGGATCTGAAATTACTGCTGCCTGCATTTCTAATAGGCCAAACCATTCTAGGCTCAAGCCATTTCTTTTAAAAAAAAAAAAAGACACTATTTCTGTACTTATGTACTTTTTCCCTCAAGATGTTCTGGTCTAGATATTCTTGATTATTATGGCATATATTCATATAATTTTCTCAATAAAACAAAAAGACAGAGGAAAAAAGGAGGTCTGAAGCATTAAAGATTGTGAAAATTCAAAGATTCTTTTAAATGCTCATTATAAATACCATATGTACAGTGATGTTCAATGTCTAAAATTTGTTTTAGGCTGATATAGTTGTGTCTTCAAAAGTATTACTTATATTTAAATGTAAGTAAAGAAAAAATAAGGCTCTGTTAAAAGATCCCACCCAAGACCTTGAACTCCATAACATAGCATCTGGCTACCAGCATCTGATGATTCCCAACAAGGATTAAACCAGTAATTCAGTGTCTTCTGGTGGATACTATAATTCAACACTTTTGGAATTTCACTTATTTACATGTAACATAGATTAACGTGCTTAGCATATGATCATAATTATTTACCTCAGTTCAAACTTGGAAATGTTATTAATACCTCACTGTTAATACAATAAATGTATATCACATTAAAAGAGAACATTATGTGATGTAAAAGAAACCGACTAAGATGCCGTCAAACAAGAAGTATTTTTAATTAAGAGATCTTCTTATCAAACTCCTTTAACTTCACATCTATTGTTCAATTCAATCTTACAATTTAAAGAGTACCATTCTGTTTGCACATATCCAAAACAATTTTGTACTTACTTTTCTCACCTTCAACTTTCTTCCTATCTATCAATTTAACTTTTCATACACAGCAAAATAATTTTACACTCACTGTTAAGGATTGGCCATGCCCTTCCTTCCTTCCTTCCTTCCTTCCTTCCTTCCTTCCTTCCTTCCTTCCTTCCTTCCTTCCTTCCTTCCTTCCTCCCTCCCTCCCTCCCTCCCTCCCCCTTCTTCCTGCCCTCCTGAATATAGCCCAAAATCTGTACTCTTTCAAGAGCAGAGATAATCTTCAGCAGCTCTGAGTAAAATAAGTAAATGTTTTGATTCTAAAATTCCCAAACATCAAACATTAATATAAAATTATTTGAATTTAAAAAATTAAAAGTTTAGTTTAATAAGCCACTATTTAATTTAAAGAAAAATGGCCAGAGAATTAATAAAGAATAGTTAATTCTGTGTGAATAAGGACATTTTGAGCTACTTTTTCTAATACAGTCCTTCCCTATAAAACATACCCAAGGCATACCTATTTTCACGTACAGGAAAAACAAAGAAATCTTATCAAAGGGGCTTCACATGGCTAATGAGAAAAGTCTATCTGGTATCTCCTGATATTGATACACATTGGAATGGACTATCTACATTGAAATGGACTGCCTCCAATGGGGATATTTAAGTGAGATGTACACTGTGGATGTTTTTTCACTATAGACAACCCATTAAAGTAGAGTAATGCCTCCTTTCAGGGGTGAAATCTACTTACCTTCGCTACCAGTTCGGAAGTGCATGCACCATCTGATTTTGGACCCTCTGTGCATGTGCAAAGCCTTCTATGCCTGATCAGAGGGTCAAAAACAGATTACTTCCTGTTTAAAACCAGGAAGTAATGACATCTGGGCAGGTGGGTGGACCCTCGTGCTGCCGCCGCTACTGGTTCGCCAAACCACCCGCCCCAGCCGGTTTGCCTGAACCAGAGCAAACCGGTAGCATTTCACCTCTGCCTCCTTTAATATGTTTGATGGACCAAGAGGCCTAAAATCGTATGTTCTTTTGAATGTAGACAAGCCATTATATAGAAATAATTCCTATTTGTGTGGTACCTGGCACACTCATGATATTACGTAGCTCAGTAATGAAACATCTGCAAGAAAGCCATCAAACTCAGAGAGCACCAGGGATCCCACAGTTCAACCCTGAACTATAAATATTCCCTTTTATCAGCAATTCCTACTTGTTTCAATATAATGTCCTGGCTGCCTTCTCTGTCAATAAAGGATAGATCTCTAAGATCTATTGATCTCAGTAACAGTTAGTCCTTGACCAGTTAATACAGTATTGTATACCTTGTAGTTGTGGCCCATACTTTTCCAAAGCTGGGGAGGAGAAACTATAAAAAACCTCAGTTGTGTTCATCACAATACAATATTTCTATATGTTTACCCTCATTGTTGATAAGCAGATAGAAATCAGAATACAAAAAAGTGAGTGAAATAAATATCATCATTTTACAACTTCAGTCTATGCCTAGGCCCTAGACTGAAAGAAAGCTATAGCCATCCTAATATTTTCTTACAATGATGCTGCACTCTGCCAAACAGAAGCCATGTGAGATATCACAAAATAAAATTTCATCTCTGGCCCCCATTCTCATGCAATACTAAACTTCATTGAAAATCAATTTGCATATCTACCGGTTTAGGATAATGGCCGACGGAAAATGTTTTTGGCATTTCTCGTAATATTGTTTCACACTTCATTATATTATTAACTAGGAAATACACTAGAAAATAAAAAGAGTACTTAAGTACTCCTTAAGTTGCCTGAACAGTGGAGATGAAAAACACAAATCAAGACACATTCAAACAGGGGAACAAAACCCCTGGTGTATAAGAATCCTGAGGCCTTTGAATAGCTGCAATAATGATCTTTGTCCTGATGGACAGCCAAAACATATAAGCTGAATCGTACCATCTCGCCACTTATTCAGTCTGGAGACCTGATACAAACTCATCTTCCTTCAGAAAAAAACTTTTTGACATCAGTCTTGGAAAGGAAGGATTTACGCTAAACCCCCTTTCAACACCACAAACATGTTTTTGCAATTAAAGCTGCCCAATTATCATTGACAAGTCCAAATCACCCTGAGCTGCTCAGAAGCTCTGCTTCTCGGTGCCTCCAGCAAAACCCTGCAGGCATAGGTGTTTGGGGGCCGGAGGTGGGGGGGCAGAAATAGGGGAAAGAAATCTCTCTCATTATTTAACAACTTCTTTGGATTCCACTGTATTGCTTTCAGAATAATTGATTGTCTGAGAAGAATGCTTTCTCCGTTTTAATTTCCTGGCTCAATGCCCATCCTCTTACAGTTCTGTTTCTTCATGCAGACAAAATATTCAACAAAAGCAGTTCAACAAAAAGATGCACTTTTTAGCATCTTATTATTTGAATCTCACTCTAATTCTGCTACAATGAAGTAGGCTTAATAGAAAATACCCACTGTGTCTTTAAACCTTTCTCCCTCACACACACACACAAACATATTTGTTCTCTACCCCATTTCTTCCAACTATTTGACATAGAGGAAAGACTGGCTTTGCACCTTCATATGGCAGGGGAAAAAGTAAGCAATAGATATCTTTCTAATGTCTGCTCAATTTCTTCTGGATATTAGTGTTAACATGATAATAAATGTTAAGGTGAATTGATATAGTCACTTCTTATAAACACTTTCTCAGAGCTTAAAAGGGAGCACATAAAGATTAAGAGACAAAATATTTAATATATTTTTGAGAACAAAGCTCCAGTACAACTTGTTCATTTAAAGAAGTTATCTTTGAAGCACAGGTTGGTGTGTGTGGAAATCAAGCTAAAGCAACACTTTAAATGGAATTACTTGCCTTTGTAACTTTGTCTTTAAATGTTAACCATAAAATATTTCAAACTGTGTGCAAATGCAAGTATACCTTCCCTTTTTTGTGGGGTAACAATAAAAAGTGAAGAGTTTGCAGGTTATGTTTCAGTAAAACTATGCTGAACCTAATTTACATACAAATATATGTAATAATGAAGTTCACAACATTGATGCTTTTTCTTAAGAACTATAGGGAAAAAATCTATAAGTAATTTTTTTTAAAAATCCAGTTTAAAGAATTTTTTCCCTCAAAATATAACACCAATACAGAAGATGAATTATCTGCGAGTTGGGCAGCATGTAAATGTTTTTATCTTCTCGGCCTCCTTTGTCTTTCTAGTTTTTGATAAGGGATAGCATGCCTTATCCGGGACATCATCCAGTTGCTTTTTCTTTTGTATAATTTAATAAAATAAAACCAAGGTGAATTAATGAAAATAAAATCGAGCTAATTTATTCAGTTGCCAGGCTGGGGAACTCTTCTAATATAGAATACAGGTATTCCATATATCTATATGTCCAGAATGGTGTGTGTGTCTGTGTAATAAATGGTATGGTAGGCGTGGGGGTATTCTCACACAGTTTTCAAAAAAACATGGGGATCAGCAACTTGTGTGTAGAATGTTTCAATTAGTTCTAATGAATATATAAGCTGCAAATGATCAATACTTTTCCTCATTTTTACAGGTCTTAGAGGTTAATTTTTTTTATTGCCAATAGTATATAACATCCCAACCATCTTACTTTAATGTTGGCCTTGCACAACAAGATTTTTCTAAGGTCTGACTGAAAGCACTTTTCTGCTGGAGATAAGTAGACTACAGGACCAAATTACTGCTTCGAAAAAGACTAAGAAATTTATAATCTATCATTACATGCAGTTCTTATTTCAGAGCAACCCATTCTGAAATTCAGTATAAATAAAAACAATTTTCCATCTCTCCTCCCCCTACAGAATATTGGACAACTAAATTAATCAGGTTTGGATGTTTAAACTGTCCAACTTCTCTCCAAAAGAGCCAAAAATAGTAAGCTTGCTTTCTCAACAGAGAAACCCCTACTGATTTTTTAAAGAAATGTTTTTAAAAAAATCTTTAATACTTCAATGAAAAATATTCTTAATTCAAACGGACATTAGGAAAAGAGAAACTCTTACCATGTCACCAGGTTTTATAGAAACTGCCACTACTGCTCCAGGCATTGGCGATCTTATGATACTTGTGCTATCCTCCGTAACTTTTTCTGGCATGTATTTGCTCAGTTCTGCAGCAAGTTTGCTCAACACACGTAATTTGTACTTAGAAAAAAGAGAAGAGATGAGAAAGAACTGTTACAAAAGCAAATTATATCAAAGCAGTATTGATTATTTTTTTAAAAGAGCATAGTATCTAAAATCTAGAGCAAGTATGTGCTAATATCTTAATCTTGCTTGGACACCTGGAAAATGAAAAAAAAAATGTTGCATTTTTAAAAGATATTAGTAGCAGCCTAAATTTGATAAGTCCATTAAAATACTGTTGGGTTATCCCTAAAATAGAAAATACAATTTGCATCTTTAATAAAGTAAACTAATATTTTAAAATGTATGTGTATTATAGAGTTCATTATATATAATCCAGTATTTGTCATTATATACAGTTTAACAAAATAGACCAAATTTTGTCTTTCTGCAAATGTTCAAGTGTTGTAAACATTTTATAATTTTATTTTGAACATTACAAACCTTAACTAAAATTATTATCTTATTTTAATACCACTTATACATTACATGCACTTTTCCCCCCTCTATCTTCTGCCAGTTCATGCTTCCAAAAAGTAGATATGTAAATGTAAGAAAATTGATAACTTGTCCAAGAGGTATAGCCCTATTAATGTACAAAAATCAAGATATTCCTCCATGAAACAAAAATATGAAAAATATAGTTTTAATTTTTTGCCTAAAAGTACAAAGCCCACATGTTGCAGTCTCTAAGATCATAGAATTCTGAGAGTACAAGTTCAATTTAAGTAAGTTATCAAAATAATCAGTACAAGCTATGCTAAATAAGTAAATGTTTTTGAACTCATAAAAACTTTCTGTGCTTTGCAAATAGGTTTGCTTCTGTGCAAATTTTTATGTTAATATAACCAAAATGACCAACAATGTTTCAAGAGGGAAAAACATATTCTCAGTTTTTACTATTTACTAATACATTTTACATAGTCACTGAAATTCCAATGATTTTATCTTCCCATTAGATTTTTTCCCCCTTTAATCATTTTATATGGCCATCTGCTTTTAAAACTTGTTCTGGACATTGCTTTTAGGCCTCCAGCAGATGGCAGCAGGAGTCCATGAGAAACCTTTATCTTTGGCCATCAGCAGACAAAAGAACAAATGCAGCTCTTTCACTAATGACTGGTCTTGGTTTTTAAAAATGTGGGTATTCGAATGGCAGATAATAATCTAATATACACTGAGACCAACCAGCCACAATATCTAGGATTTCTGATTATTTTAACTCAGTTTTCACAAGTAGAGCCTTCAGCGATTTAATAGCTCCAGAATACAAATAAAATTAAATATTTTAGCTTTGATAACCAATAACTATCGCTTTTGAATATCTCAAGGCATTTGCTACATTAATCCATCTGTGGTAGGATCTCTGTCCATTGAAAAGCGATGTATAATCAGGGTTATGCCTAATATCACATATAATATTATATAATACAGTAAAACAAACAAATTAATAATGTTTGACCATTGAATCTGTGGACTCAGTCTCAAACTGATCTTTTAGAAATAATTGGGCATAACTTTATAAGCATAACCCCATTTCACCTTGAAAAAGCAGAGTGGATGGGGTGCTGGCCTGGTCTAGCAAACATGCCCTAGAAGTTGTCCAATGAGCTAGTACATCTATTGTAATGGAATGATGGACATGTTTAAGAGAAAGTGTTCATTATTTCCAGATTTCTCAATTTAGACAGATCTCCCCTACGTTGTAAAGAATACTGTTTAAATCATCTGATTTATCCACAAAGTAATAATATAACTGGAGACAGGCTAGAGAGCTACTGTACTTCAACCTAATAGTTTACATTTTATTTCTTGGTTACTTGAAGAGCACTCAATCCATCAAGACATACCAAACAGAAGATCAAAGTGATAATACATTTCATGCTCTTATATAATTCTCATTCATTTTTCTGAGATTTCAATATCTCTCTCTAATAGGGGGAGGGAGCAGTAGGTACATCAGCTTGAGTTATGTTATTGTGCTGTTATGTGCTCTGTATATAGTCCATTTAAAAAAAGTTATTCTGAAAAAACCCAGGATGGATACATAAAACATCTCCCCCCCCCTCTCCCCCCCCCCCCCCCCCCCCCCCCCCCCCCCCCCCCCCACCACCCTCCCACATAAACTAACAGGGCACCTATATACAGTAGGAATCAACACTTATGCACAAATCAGCAAGGACATCACCAAATGAAATCTTCATAATTATTCCATGCTGTAATTTTACATAATTAAAATTAATTATTCCATGTTTAGTGCATTTTGCTTCACAATATTCAGATAAAAACTATTTTTTGTTGACTTGTATGTAACTAGGATTATTTTCACCCAGAGATGGATTATTATTGTGAAGACTACATTTCAATTTAATTTAATTTAATTTAACAGAAATCTAAAAATACATAGACTTTACACATTTCCTGAAAGACACCCCCACACACACATAAAACCTCCCCTCAAGCACTAGCATCATTATTTTAAAATATCCTTCCCCACAACGAACACCTATACATCCCACAAACACAAAATGTGTTAGTTCTGATAAAAACAATGTATTTGGACTTCCTATAATAAAGACTTACAAAACTTTTGTGATACATGCAGACATCTGAATAAGAACTACAAATTAATAAAATACATAGAATGGATTACAAGGGATCCAAACTATTAATACTGTTCTAAAAACTAAGATTTAGCTGTTATTTTTTTAAATCTAATTTTTAAAAATTAAAATGACTTGAAACGTAAGTTTGTTAATTGCAATTTACAATTTCCTAGGAAAAAAAACATTTTCCAACTGTAATACCCAAATAACTACTCCATAGAATCTTTTTTCAAACAAAATGGACATTATTGCCCTAGAAATGCACAAAGAATATAGGAAGGACCTTAATGGGATTTATAGCAAAAGTTATCAGAATTGTTATGTTCCACAATAGGTAAAATAACATATTCTGCTTGCACTGTGAGTTTTCAATCAACATGTACTAAGATCTTATGGTATTTAAAGGATATGGTTTTTTCTGGAAATTATAATGCCAATGTTTTTCTTCCTCTGTTAAAATCTGTTATATGGCAAGACAAAAAAAGCTTCCAAAATAAATTATAATACCAATTCTTTGCAAAGTATCCATTCATCAAAGGATAAATTACCTTATAAAATTATACCTGAATGTAATGTCTATCAAAATGTACAGTTTCAAAATCTAAAGGAAATGCCTTTGTTAGATGTAGATTGGAAATGATGATTAAAAAACCACCACCTTAGAAAGAAAGACAAATCCAGTTAGATCTCTAGGTCACCATCAGGTATTATGTGCTATCTGGCTTTATATTGCAAAATATGTTTCCTTTTGATATATTTTTAGCCTTTTAAAAAATCTGTAGCACTTCAAAAGTAAGCTTTACGTGTTTCTGAAAGTAACTCAAGTTTGTAATATTAAATGGAAAATAGCTTCAGTTCTCACAATCAGCCATCAACCAGTACCAGAGAATATGTCTGAGACAGCACAGAATTGACACTGAAAGTGTCTCCTGATTGCTGTGTAGCACAAGCTTCCTTGTCTCCATTATGTCCCCTACCAATCCTTCTGCTTATTCCTATTTTAGTATTCCCCTCTTTTCTGGATATTTTCTCTGCAGGACTCTTTGCTTTGCTTGGAATGAGATGTGAGAGCCAGTAAGCAAAAAGGCTTTTAAAATGCAGGCCTTTGTTATTGATGAGTTATTCCCTTTCCTTTTGCATTTGTTTATTGTTCTTTGGCTTGTTTGGAGTGTGTGTGAAAAAGAGCTATTGTAATGTTTTTGTTTTTGTTTTTAAAAAAAGTTAGCTGCAACAGAACTTTTGGGGGAAAATCTTTTGGAAGCAGAGTTATGGACACGCACACGCACCAAAAAAAAAAAAAAAAGCCCTTATGGACACAGGATGTTAGAAGTGTTATCAAGCGGATTCTTTTCTTTTTTAAAATATGCTATTGGGTGAATATTTTGGCTTCATTGAATCTCAGTTAATGTCATGTGTCTTCCAAAAAGCATTTCTTCATCAAATAGTTTCTAAGTTTAAGAAAAAACAGTCTGAACCAGCGGGGGTCTATGGATTGCTCAGCACATATCAAGGATGTTAACCTCTAGAGTGGTTCAAGGAGAAATGTAACTTGAGGAAATGTAAATGTGAAGAATGTGAGAAGACCTTAAGAGCTCAACAATACCTGGCTCTGAAGGGGAAAAAAAAGTAGACTGAAAGCTTTCAAACATCACCAACTTCACCAAATGCAGCACAACTACTTCTTGATTGTAAGTGGGCTGAACTGAAAAGTGACCAAGTCTTACATAAGAAAAGAAAGATTTTAAACTTTAAAATAAAGCAAAGATTGAGGGACGAATGTTGCAGAGGACCAGTTGAATTAGCTTATTGAAATGGCTGAGGGATAGCCTGAATTAGGAATTGCAAACAGAAAACATAATTGCAAAGAAAAAAATAATACTGACCACAAGCTGCCTCGAACCTCCTTAAGTGAGGCATCAGTCACACCTTGCTTCATTCAATATTCTTGTAGTAGGGGCTAGATTTGCCACTTACACTCAAACATGCTTCTTTAGGCAAGAACTTCCCAAGATGGACTAGGCCTTACAAAGCAGATTCCTTTTGCTTTAAGTTAAGGTTGACCAATCAGAGTCAAAAGCACGCAGAAATAGACTGTGTGTGCAGTTACAACACAGACAAGGTAAAATGAACAGATAACAACTCAGCTGTTTGAATAGCAGCGCTCTGTACATCTGCAGTCAGTGGAGCAGTCTGTTAGCATAATGCTTTGACAACTCCATCAGTGTAGTCTCAAGGTTCCTGTCAATCAGGACGCATCATTTAATACAACAGCACTCAAAGGATTTTCCCTCCTATAAGCCAAATGACAGCATATCTACAGCTCTATTTACACCAGCACTTACTTCTGTTTACAAGGCTCTCGTAATTAGAAAGTATGCAACAGGCAGCAATATTATTCAGATCTCCATTTTG